TCGACTATTGTGAACTCGACTTGCTTTGAGACGCGCGGTTCTTGGTCTCCGATAACAACAGGAAGAGTTACCACACCAATTACTGGAACTCTCGTTCCAGAGAACCCGACCAAGTTCCCCTTGGGCGTGCTTGATTAAGCGCGGATCGATGTCCATTTGGTCGACAGTGCTTTTGAAAAGGATGTCTGCCGCGCTACCCCCATCTATCAGTAGGCGGTGTATTTTGCAGGCGGCCACCAGAGCGGTGATGGTGAGCGGATCTTCTGACGGAATTCCTTGCGGTAATTCGGTGTCGTCGAAGCTTAGTTTGCACCTTGTTTGGACATCTGCCGCTGCGCATTCCATCGCGCGTTCGCGCTTGGTCTTTTTCTTCGGGCGATCTCCTTCCACTTTCACCACCCCTATTTCTTTGCGCACTACATATGAGCCAGTAGCCTCATTGTAGTCGGCTTGCGGGGGTGGTGGTAGATTTCCTGGCTGTTCTGGTTGGTTCTCCGCTCCACGGATGAATTCCGTGAGTAACCCTCTTCGTATGAGGCCTTCGATTTCGTATCGTAGCTCCCTGCAATCTTCCGTCCAGTGGCCCGTTTCTTTGTGGAAGTCGCAATGCTTCTTCGCGTCGTGCATGTGTAGTGGGGCCTTCAAGGGCGCGGGCCAATTGATTTTGTAACCTTTCTCGCGGAGAGCGTGGAACACGTTCTTTACCGACTCATTGAGTGGGGTATAGGCGCTTGACGGTCGCCTATCGGGTGATCGTCCCCGCTGAGCTTGTTCTGGTGGTGGTGGAGGATGGCGCTTCGGCCCGCTGTGTAACTGTGCCAATTGCTCCCGCGGCACCGGGAGCTGCCTCCGCCCCTGGTCTTCTCGGGGCGGCTTCGCGGGCTCGAAGCGCCTGACAGACCCCGCTCCGAGCATTTCTTCCAGCGTGATTGCCTTCTCGATTTTCATCTCTAGCTCTGTCGATAGCGTGACAGGTCTTTTCGCCAATGCCCGTTTGAGCTCCATGTTGGTGGTGGCGTCCATAAGGTGATGGGCAGCAGTTTCGGGAGTAAGGTCGCGCACGGCCATCGCCACCCTGGACCATCTGGCGTAGAATGCTCGCAGGCTTTCCCCGTCCTTCTGCCTTATGTCTATCAGCGCCTTGAGGTGGAGAGGCCTTCTTTTCTGGGACGCGAACTTTGTTGTGAACAAGGGTATGAACTCTTCGAACGAGCGGATGATTCCGTTTGGGAGTCTGTTGTACCAATCGAGGCATATTCCGGAGAATGTTGATGGGAAGGTTCTGCATAGCGCTGCATTGGAATTTGTTTGGAGTTGCATGCGCAAGCAGAAGGTGCTCACGTGGTCTTCAGGATCGGTCGTCCCGTTATACGTGGGGAGGGCGGGTGGCATTCCGCTCAGGTGCTCTGCCATGATTTTCGCGCTTAGCGGTTGGTGGAGCGCTTTTTTGGGTGGGTTGGAGCGGTATTGCGGGGATAGGTGTTGCTCCAGGAAGCTGAGGTCTGTCCTACCCGGCAGCTCGGCTTGTTGCGCTTCACACGCAGGGAATTCGGCCGGCGCGGGTTGTGGTAGCGGGGCGATCCCTATCGCTTCACCAGGTGCTTGCTGCGACGCGCTTGGTGTCGCCTCTACTGTTGTCGCGGCTTCTTTGCTCATCATGAGCGCTATGACTTGGCTCATTTGTTTTTGCATATCGGCTATGACGTTGTTCTGCTTCGCCATTAGCTGCCTCATTTCCTTGGCGGTCAGCTCGGGCTCTTCTTCTTCGATGAGCACCGCATTGAGGTTGCTGGTTTCCGCGAACGTTCTTGGGTTGGTCATTGCTTTGATGGGTGTTGCTTCGTCAGGTAAGTTGGGATTATGTTCTGCCATTGGTTGCTTTTCTTTGCTTCTCTACTTGGCCCCACGGTGGGCGCCAATTGTTTGAACCTAACTGAGAGTAGGAGTGAGGTTCGGGAAAGAAAGTGGGTCAAGGGGAGTAAGCAAGGGAAATCGACTATATGACGTAGAACAAAGGTTCAGGAGAATGAGGTTGAGAGAATTAGTCTTTAGAGAGAGAAGTTGATGCTTTGTAGAGATAGAATGCTCAAAAATGTGATCCTCTCACCCACTGGAGTAAATGCCATATTTATAGGCTACATGGTGGTGGGTGAGTTTACAGGGTGACATGACAGCTGACATGTCAGACTTTAGACCATACTTCTACCTAGGACTAGGGGGTTTATCCATGATGGTCCCTATGACTGCGATGGGACTGCGATGTGACTGCTCCCGAGGGATGCGACGTCGTTTGTGATTTCTCCCAGCCTGGTCAACGCTCCACTGGACCGTCACCGTTCGGTGCTTCGGACCTTGTTCGCGCGTGCAGGTCTCGTTGCGCTCGAGACCGGTGTGCTTACGTCAGTGCTGGCGCGACTAGTTCTCGCTGCGACGTCGTTTGGGGTATTTCCTTGGCCCGGCGAGATCCGAGTCATATACCCAACACAAACAATCCAATCCAATTTTCGGGCCTAGATTTGAGTTAAAAAAATCATTTGGGAGAGGACCGAAAAGACCGGATAAGAGAGCCTAACACCCAAAATTTAACCTCCTCAACCTTTCAGGCCTCAGACCATTCAAATCCCCATAAATTCAATCTAAAATCAAGATCGAATTGGGACCAGACTGGTTCAAGACCGGACTGTATCCAATCCAATCTTTGGTCCTTATATTCTCGAAAAGACCGGACCGGGACCGGATCAATTCGGGTCAATTTAACCGGACCGGACCGTATAGCCACCCCTAGACAAGAGTATGAGATACTAAACTTGAAGTATCGTACTAAATCCTATGTAACTAAAGGGTTTTGTGGCCTAATATTTTTCCAAGTGGAGTCCCAGGGCCCCTCTCCTCAACACCTCCCTCCGCCACTATATATGATGCATAATTGAATGTCTACCAACAACGTGAGTTATTGAGATCAATTAGTTGTTGACATGGTATCCAAACTTTGTGCCATCGAGAGATCTTCTTTTCGAATCATGGCTACCCCATTTGATAGGTAAATGGTATTCGGAATTGTGTAAACTTCAATTCCATAAAGAGTAGCTTTCGCTTGAGTGAATGTGCTAATAAATAGTATATGGTTTATTATTGAATATCTCCCAACTATTCGAACTATTAAATCAATTGGTTATTTCAAAACATATGTCTAGAAATGCATGTGAGAAGGGAGCTGATGATCTGGTGTTTATCAATCCAAGAGAAATGGTAGGAGGGACCATATTAAGTTCCAAGTCCTCACAATTTGTGTCAATTACTAGGGTTTTCTTTATTTATCATCACCCATTGGAAGTATAATTTGGAAAATAAAACTAAAACACAAAAGGATGGTGGGAGGAGACAGGAATCTGAGAAGTGGGCCTTGATTTGGACTTGTGATGGGCATTACCGACGATTAAGCTTCTGTTCCAGAATCAATCTGATGAAAGCAGAATACCATTATTTATGAGTTTTTTTTCTTTTAACTTTAAAACAAATGGCGAAAAACTATTCACGTCCACAGTAATAATTTGTCAATATATCAACAAATATTATATAAAAATGCATTCTTTTTGGGGAGGAATTATGATTGTTTGAAAAATCACTTTCAACATTTGGAGAGGGAAATTATCATATCCCTAGACAATCTAACTAATTGAATATTTTATCTCCTCAATTATATTGCTTTGTGCCTAATCCAGATTTCCAAGCGGGCACAATCGAGTATTACTTATGTTGAAAGGATATATAGTTTCTTTAATGGTAAAAGTTGACTTGCGTAATATCCACCTGATCATAAAAGTCTTGTGGATAATTTTCATGCTGATATGGACCAACTTTTGTAGTAATCGCTTCACTAACTTGAGCAATGACCATCCTCATGCTTCTTCCTTCTACAATATTTATAAAATTTGACAATGTTAAATTAGGATATAATTTAGAAATATACAAAGATAATTTTAATGAATAATGTATCAACATATTGCTTTGCAATCATAATATAGAAATATAAGGGTTTCCTGGTTCAAGTTAGTATGGATGCCTTATTGCATTCTCAATATTTTTCTTTTTTTCTTTTCATGACTAGTTCAGTTGGATCTAGAGCATAAAATTGCAAAATGGAAGATATAAATCCCTAATAACATGTTCACTGTGTCAGTTACTACCTGAAATTAGAGATCATCTATATTTTCGTTGTGTTTATGTACAACAATTAATTACATATTTTTACCCTGCTACACATATGAGTCTAATTATAAAATTGGGTTTATCCTACAAAGAAATTGACTTCGAAACCTAAAACATGATGAATATTGGTATAGTGATATCCACATACTGCAAAGTGCAAACCCTCCCAAGTTGCCATCCCATTATTAATTCAGTAGAAGAAGAAAAAAAAAAAATAACAAAATACAGCCAAGACAAAAGGATGTTGAAAAATTAACGATGGGATGTTTGAATCCTTAGCTAGTCGAACAGGGGAACAGAACAAACACTCAAATCTCAAAATTTTAAGTGGGTGTTACAGTGGAGAGTAATAATGACTAACACCAATGTGGGATCTTGGGGGGGGGGGGGAAAAAAAGAAGCCCCTTCCATACCAGTAAAGGGCAATAAGAAGGGAGCATAAAACCCAAATAATTCCACCCAACTCCTCTCTCATTTCCCACTGGAACTTCTCTTTCTCCCCTCTCAAAACACTTCCCGTGTCATCAATTCCTCTCTGTAATCAGATCATCAAAACCATGGTTTCCCAGGGCGATGAAGGAGATTGCCAGGAGCATGGAGCAGCAGCAGCAGCAGAAGCTGACGAGATCTCAATCGAAGAACAAGAATGGTTGAGCCTGGGCATGAAAAACAGAGCATCTGGTGGAGGCAGGGGACATGAGAACGACGACGACGACAACAACGATTCCGATCACACAACTCCTCCTTCTCCCTCGGCGACCCACCACAAGGTTTTCTCCTGCAACTTCTGCATGAGGAAATTCTACAGCTCCCAGGCCCTCGGCGGCCACCAGAACGCCCACAAGCGAGAGAGGGGCGCCGCCAAGAGGTTCTTCCACTCCCAGCGGATGATGATGGCCGCCGCCGCCGCCTCCATCGGCTACCCTTTCGCTCAAAATTGCGGTAATAGCAGCTACTCTTCCTCTTTCTCGCCGCCGCTGGCAGCCGCTCGGTCGCTCGGCGTCCAGCCGCACTCTCTGGTTCACAAGCCTGCGGCGGCAGGGGCGGCGGTGGCGAGATTCGGAGGGAGGGAAAGGGATGGAATTGGGATGGGTGGTAATTGGGCGCCGTCGTTTTTGCCGGAAGAAGGGACGGCCGTGGGTTTGGTTTGGCCGGGGAGCTTTCGATCGGTGGTGGTAGATAGAGATCAGAGCTGCTCTGCCTCTGGCTCTGGCTCTGGGGATTTGCATAGTAGCCTTGATTTGGATCTCAAGCTGTAATAATTCTTTCTTTTAGCTAAATTATTTTACTCTTTTTTTTCATTTTTAATCGTTCCGTTTTCAGTTTTGACCTCCCCTGAATGGGAATGGAAGAAAGATATGTGAATTGGTTGGATGGAATGGCTTTTTCCAAGTTGTGTATGTGGTACAGCTAAGCTAAGCCATTACAGCTAGCTCAACAAAATATGGTTATGATTCGTGATTCATGGTATGGTCCGTTAGGAGGATATGATTGATCCAAGCAGATCAAGTGTGTAACTAACATTTATTGGTGGTAGGTTTGATTCTCAAAATGTAATCTAGAACATATATAATAGCAATTCATCACTCACTTTTTCTCCATTTTGAAATTCCGACTCTGGGAGTGTTTCCCGGAAGGTCAATCACGTCATTTTATCATAATTATGGCGCTCTGCGTTTTGATTTCCGCATGTGCAAGTAAGCTGTGTGAACAAGGCCTCCCCATGAATAAAATTTGGGCCTGCCTTTGGTCCTGCTCCACAGGACGTGCTTTTGGTCCCTAGCTCCACTGCAACAGCCCATTGAACCACTCACAACGTGCTTTCGTCAAAGACAAGATTGGTTTGTACAGCCGTTCATTTCTTCTTCAATTTATTATTTTATTACTAACCATGGGAAAGATATTTGTTTCCAGTATTAAGTCTATTTGCATTACATATTACATATTACATATGTAGTCAATATTACAAATAAAATTATAAATATTCATATTTAAACATGACATTTAACGTCAATACCTAAACATTTATACTTGAATCCAACAAATAACATCAATATTTAACTTTTATACTCATAAAATAAATAATAAAATAATTTTATCAATTAAATTCACTAAAATAAGGCCATTTTACTTAGAGATTCGATCATGTCGGTCATACCGGTGGTGTCACGCCGATTTTAAGAGCAGTATCGGTTGAACCAGTTACAACCGGTGGCACGCCGGCCGGCGTGAGGGGTGGAAATCGGTACGGTATCGGTATCCCAATACCAAATACCGAAATCCCGAATACCGAATTACATCCTGAAATCAATCCCAATCCCAATCCCTAAATAATTTCGGTATCCCAATCCCTAAATATTTCGGTATCCCAATCGGTATTATCAAATACAAAATTAATTACTTTTGCAATTAATTATTAAATATATAAATTAGATTTTATTGTTTAATTTAGGGCAAAGAGACTAAGCAAAGAGTCTTGAGTTTCCTAGAGCTAACATCTCAAGTTTTTGTAATTGGTAATCTTTAATTTGATGAATTTGAGGTTGAGAAGTGTGAAATAGCTATATAATGATCTATGTATAATTAAATGGCACTCTTGGTGCTTGAGGGTCGCGTAGTAGTGAATGAGAGAGTCTAGTTGAGAGGATAAAATACACACTAGCTTATATTTCAGTATTGATCGGTATTTCGGTATATACCGATCCCAATCCCGTAATCCCTAATACTGAATAACAATTGAAACTCAATCCCAATCCCAATCCCACAAAATAATACGTGTATTCGGTAATACCAAATATAGACAAATTCGGTACGGTATTCGGTATATCCCAAATACGCCTCGTGACAATCATTTCGTTCCAAGTGCTAGTCATTATTAGTAGGGGTTTCTTGCCGGAAACTTGTGGTTTACTTTATAATGTTTATTGCTTTATGAGGTTTCTATTATGATTTAAAGAACTTGTGGTATGCTTTATGGAGTTTCTTGTGAGCATCAGTAAACTTGTGATATACTTTATGAAGTTTTTTGTCGGCTTTATGAGATTTTTGGTATGCTGCATGAAACTTGTGCTATATTTTATGAGGTTTTTTGTCAGTAAACTTGTGCTATATCAGTAAACTTGTGATATACTTTATGAGGTTTTTTGTCGACTTTATGAGATTTTTGGTATGTTGCATGAAACTTGTGCTATATTTTATGAGATTTCTGGTTGCTTTATGAATTTTGAAGCATGGTGAGGTTCTGGTATGCTTTATAAGCTATCTAGTCTAGTTTATGTTATTTGTGGCGTGGTTCGTTGTGTTACTGGTATGTGTTTTGTTGTCTGCTTCATGATATTAGGTGAGGTGCGTGATGCGTCATAAATGAGCAACCTCACATGTGTGTGCCTCCTAATTTTTAAAAATGAAAAGTATGCCGCTCACTTTAAGAATCAACATTAATTGGGGTCAACTCTTTCAAATTAAAAAAATCATCTAAACTAAATGTTTCGATTGACTGAAAATAGATTCAGCCTAGCACTTGGGAAGGTGGGTTGGCACATGAGAGGTCATGTGTTCGATCTCCTCCTGAACCACTAAGCATTGGTATCACACGTCCGGCCAGCTATCAATGACTCGGCATATGGTCGACGACTCAAGGTTTAACCCGCCTTCAGCGTCACCAATATGGCATCCGCGGGTAAGGGTTCCTTGTAAAAAAAAAAAGCGTTAGTATCGTACTAACAAATTGAGTTCGACCTCTATTTTTTTTAATGAAAAAAAAAAGCACTCTAAATCTCTAACCTCTGCCTTGAAACCATTGAACGAGCATATATGTTTCCGGTCCGGCTCAGCTGCTTCTATTCCTTGTCGAGCCTGTTCCAATTTCAGCTGGTCTGGACTTTGGACCCAATTTTCCAGTTACAACTTTCCCCGTTTGCCGCTTAAATTTAAACCAGCCCACCCTCCATTCTCGATCAGAGGCCCAATCTGTTGGTTCAAGATCCAGGCCTGGTATAATGCTAACCTTCTTCCACGGATGAATGCCATGAAACAACTTGGGGTTGGCGCACTATAACTTGGGCTTGATTTTACAATATCAAGCGAGATGAGAGGCTCATAAAACTGGTCACATTTTCTTATGGAAGGAAAATAAAGTTATAGTCGATTATTTTTTATAAGGTTATTTAATAGTAATGGAGTTAGGTGTTGAAATTAGTATGGTATTAATACTAACTTCAGCTAGGGATGACAAAAATATCAGTAACCGTGGATATTCGCTTGAATCCGGCCTAATCGGGTAGAGTAAAACTCGAATCCGAAAGACATTTAGTGGGTAAGGGTAAAACCCGAACCCGAATATTACGGGTAATGGGTGGGAATGGGTTTCTCACTATCCAACTCGAACCCGCCCGATTATACAAATGCATATGTATTTTGTCTAGAAATAATCATTATTTTTCTCTAACATATTTTATATTTAGCATATAAATATAATATTTTCATGAAATTGTGTTGTTTTAATTAATTTTGTTCATTCTAGTGAACTATTGTCGTACTTTCCTCTTAAGTAATGTGAGAATACGTGTGAATGTTAACATATTTGTTGAAGTTATGAAGATAAATTATTACCCATGGATAACCGTGGGTACCCGAAACCCGAACGGGTATGGACATGGTTTCAATTTTCTACCCGTTTCACATGTGGGTATGGGTATGGGTAAAACCCGAACTACTTTGGGTAGGGTAACGGATATGCACTATCCGTCCCTGACCCGACCCATTGCCATCCCTAACTTCAGCAAATATGAACATTGACATTTTAGGTTGAAGGGGTTAACCATAGTTAATGTTGATTTTTAAAGTAAGTGACACACTTGTTATTTTTAAAAATTATAGAGACAACACATATTTGGACCACAAGTATCGTAAGATAGAACAGAAACACAACAAGACCTACTAAAAAAACATAAAATGGTAATTTAAATGAGAAATTTCAAATTTGGTTATGAGAGATTTATAAAAAATTTGGGCCCAAATTTCATATCCAAAACCCAGATAATATTTTTTTTATTCAAACATATGAGTTTATTAAGTAGTATTATGGGTACTTGACATGTCAATCCTCAATTGAGGTACAAGAAAGATCGGAAGCCTTTGAGTCCAAACTTCTTCTTCTTCCCATCCACACGTGATGCAAGCCACTTGATGGCCCACTTTATTTGATTCAAAAATCAAATAATTATTATAATAAGAATTTAAGGTAAAAACCTTGTTTGTTTACAAATATAAAATTTGGGGCCCGAACGTTCTTGACAAAAATAGTCGAAGAGACGGGACTTTGCACAAGTCCTAAGACGGTTGAAGGTTAATGTGGTAGCTTTTTAGAAACATGAGTGCATCAAGCCAAGTCGGAGGAGATTTATGAAGGTTGATTAGTGGGTTGGGAGAGACATATGAGCTATTGTGAATCTGATCTTGGTCTTATCTGGTTATTCTGGCAACCTGAATTCAAGGTGAGTATACTGAAACCAGGGAAGAATTTTGTGCACACTATGATACATGATCAGGTGGGTGATTCTTGCTTCTTAACAACATTTTATGGGGTGAATGAGGAGTTAAAATCACTTCTTAACAGCAGTTTATGGGGCGAATGAAGAGTTGGAGCGAAGAGCAACCTATGCTGAGATGGGTAGGTTTAAAGTAGATGGATACCTTCGGATAGTAGGAGGTGATTTTAATACTGTTCTGAATCCACATGAGGCATCTAATCATACTCTTATCTCATCTAGTATTTCTATTTGAGGGGTGGCATAACAATATGGAGTTGGAGGATTTTAATATCCTATGACCTTTTTACACTTGGTCTAATAATCAACATTTGAATCTTATTGCTAAGAGGCTTGATAGAGCCATGGCGAATGTATCCTAGATGACACGATTTCCCAATTGTACTATGGATACCATCCCTGGTACTTTCTCGGATCATTGTGGTATCCTTATGCATGCCAAGTCGCAAGTGAAGTCTTTGCCCAAGCCTTTTAAATACTTTAAATTTTGGAGTGAACACCCTGATTTCCTTAGCATAGTTAAGGAAGCTTAGTCTTTTCAGTGTGTTGGTAGTCCTTGGAGTTCATGCAGACTAAGCTGAATGAGGTTAAAAAGGCTCTAAAGAAGTTGAATATGTAACATTATGCTTATATTAGTACTCAAGTAAAGGAGCTGGAGATGCAAATTTTTAGACTTGAGAGTTATGGCTGGTTGTCTTACAACCCCTACA